GCTGACGATGTTACCAGCCATATAATAGCTGATACCCACAACATTTAAGATGTACTGTATATTAAGTTGTAAGGTTGTTTCTCTCTTTTGTTTAACTGGCTTTTTGGTCTTTAGTCTATTGATTTTTTGTGATTATATTGATGTATTTTTTCATGTGACTCACTATTGCAGTAGGAATGGAGCAGCTATGTTTAACGTCTCCACCCATATTCATCTTGTCAATTTATACGCTCCTCTGGTGAGCTGCAAAACCAGGCTCATAATAGAGATTTCAATAGGCATTTTTCATTCCCTTTTCAAGCCCAAATGCACAAGGCAGGATCTGAAAACAGTAACAATCTTAGACTAGGAACTCTATGTATTCTGAACCTAAGATCAATATCACTATTAGTACAGGGATGCGAAGAACACAATGCTTATACTTCAACACTTCAACATTGTTTACTCTCTTTGCAGCATTTTTATATTGCTGTATAAGAGAAGACTGTTGGAAGAGAGGAAACCCCCTTCTATCCCACAGATTTGCAATCTATTCTGACTGCATTTTCCAGCTGACCTAAAAGCTCCACTCGAGCTCCATCCATTTCATGCTTCCTGGGTTGCTGTTCTTACAGGTTTATAACATTTGTAAGAGCCACACCATTAATTACGTGCTGGGGCACCAGTTATGACATCAATTTAATTTTCAGTTGCTTGTTAAGGTTTGGACCCCTTGTCAGAACATCTCCTGTTCCTCCTTTTGCAGAATTGATTAAATCCAGCCTTGCTCTACTGAATGTCTTGTTTAGTTCTGGGATCTGGGAAAGCCAGCAGAAGCTCAAAGACGACGCCTTTCAATTGTGCCATTCTGTCTTTTGTATTCTTCACCAGCTCCCACATCCTATTTCAGCTTCTGCTATTTCGGCAAGGCCAGGCCAACCCTTTACTGAAGTGTTTTTATTTGTTTTTCCCATTTTCCTCCTTGCCTGCAGTCGGTGTTTGCAAAGCATTTAACACGACACTAGGCGGGTTAATTTACTATACTGGTTTTAAAAAAAGCAGGCTATTTGGAGTGTCTCGCAACAATGACATGTTTTCAGCTTGAAAATCAGATGTCTCCATCCCAAAGGAAAGAGCCTTTGCCAAAGCTTTGTTTATATTGATGCCAGGTGCAAGCTGGCACAGCCGTGATAGTGACACATGAACACTAAACAGTTTGCAAAAAAAAAAAAAAAAGCTCCCAAAATGATATTCTGTTGCTAGAGAACCAGGATTTAAAATATCCCAACCACATCGAGTGCATCAAGAATTCTTTCAGTAGTTTCCTTCAGCTGGCTTCCAAGCCCCAACCTCTGTCCTGCACAAACATATCAAGAGTTCTTCCTGCTCTGATAAAATAAGTGACTTCATTTTGCTTTTTTCCATGAGTGCCATACTTTTCTTCTCCCAGGTACTTTCTAAAATGACTTGAGCTGATCTTGTGTTTATGGTATGCAAAGATACAGACCAAGCTGTGAGATAAAACGTAGAGTCTTCTTCACCTACCTGTGATTCATCTACCTCGTCCAGATAGTAGCCCTTTGCCTTTTCTCCTTCTCTGACCCTTTCCTCCTCTCATACAGTTGTGCTCATAAGTTTACATACCCTGGCAGAATTTATGATTTCTTGGTCATTTTTCAGAGAATATGAAGATAACACGAAAACTTTTCTTTCACTCATGGTTAGTGTTTGGCTGAAGCCATTTATTATCAATCAACTGTGTTTATTCTTTTTCAATCAAGTGCCTCCTTATTGTGCATCTTGCAACAGCCACACCACATGTTTTCAGAGAGTCCTATATTTCACCTGAAGTCATTTGTGGGTTTTTCTTTGCATCCCGAACAATTTTCCTGGCAGTTGTGGCTGAAAGTTTAGTTGGTCTACCTGACCGTGGTTTGGTTTCAACAGAACCCCTCATTTTCCACTTCTTGATTAGAGTTTGAACACTGCTGATTAGCATTCTCAATTTCTTGGATATCTTTTTATATCCCTTTCCTGTTTTATACAGTTCAACTACCTTTTCCTGCAGATCCTTTGACAATTCTTTTTTTTTTTTTAATTTGATTTATATGCCGCCCTTCTCCGGAGACTCAGGGCGGCTTACAATGCGCTAAGCAATAGCCTTCATCCTTTTGTATATTTATACAAAGTCAGCTTATTGGCCCCACAACTGGGTCCTCAATTTACCTACCTTAGAAAGGATGGAAGGCTGAGTCAACCTTGAGCCTTGGCGAGATTCGAACCTGCAGTAATTGCAGGCAGCTGGTCTTAATAACAGGGTGCTTTAGACCACTGTACTACCAAGGCTCTTTTGCTTTCCCCATGACTCAGAATCCAGAAACATCAGTGCAGCACTGGATGAAGGATGCAAGGGTTTGTCAGGAGGCTAGAAACTCATTGACTTTTTATACACACACACTAATTACATGCAAACAGATCACAGGTGAGGATGGTTACCTTTAATAGCCATTCACACCCCTTTGTGTCAACCTGTGTGCGTGTTATCAGGCCACAATCACCAGGGTATGTAAACTTGTGATCAGGGTCATTTGGGTAGTTCCTGTTGTCATTATGATTGAAAAAGAGTAAACACAGTTGATTGATAATAAATGGCTTCAGCCAAACACTAACCATGAGTGAAAGAAAGGTTTTCGTGTTATCATTCATATTCTCTGAAAAATGGCCAGGAAATCATACATTCTGCCAGGGTATGTAAACTTATGAGCACAACTGTAACCTGGGAGTTAATGTTGCTTCTTACTTTTCTTCATCAGTGTCAGTGGAGGAAATAAAATAAAAATGCTGGGCTTTTTCTCACAAGGTAGAGTTACCACAAGAAAAATAACCATTATGTTTTTAAAATTAGCAAATCAATTTACTTTGAGGTCCATCTTTTTTAAAAAGATGTAAGTACGGAAATGATTTGAAAAGGACCATCCATTTCTGACAGTACTTCTGTCAGTTGCTTCCTAATTGCTTGGATGCTAGCAGCTATAAATGGAATTGTGACTTCTCTGTTTAGTCTCTTCACACTCAAAAACACTTGAAACAATACATATCATTGTTTTAGTGGACTTAGGAACAATAGACATAATCTTCTTTTGATGAGAGATCAACCTAACCATGCCAAATGTGCAGCCATCAAAAGTTAGATGATGGAGCTTTTTTAATTTGTTTGGTCCTTGTCATTTAGAACTTCCTTCTCTAATATGTCCATCAGCTTCCTTTATTTTTAGTATTCCCAAACAAGTTTTGTATATTTATTTAGCATGGTTGTTGAATTTGCAAATGTAAAATTTAAATTTGAATTTACATCTGAATGCTGCTGACATTTTAACATCAACTTGATATTGGTGTTTGAACGATGGGTAGAGTTTTTAATCATTTAATTGGTCCGTACTTTTCTTTTCTTTTATTATGAGCTACCTCATTGGTCTAATGTTCTCCCCCAAAAACTTAATGCAGATTGCTAAAACAAGCAAATACTTCTCCATGTGGCAAATCCATCTGGATGGTTCAAATGCATCTTCTTCAGCTGCTTCTTTAGATATCTTTATTTTTCTTGGATGTTTTTTTTTTTTTTTTATTCTTCACTTTTTCTTTTAACCCCTTTTTCTTTCTTCTATGTTTTTGTAGGTTTTTAAAATCTTTGTAATGACTTCTTTTAATAAAAAAATATTCATAAAAATGCATCTTCTTCAGACATTTTTTGACAAAGTCTAAGATGCATACTGCAAATGGTTGAGACATTTTGATGATAAGTACCAAAGGCTAGCAAAAATGACTGAGTAATATTTATTCTTAGCCCTGACGCAGTATTGCTGCTCTATCCCTTCAAAGGTAAATGTCAGGAGAACACAGGAAGTAATCCACCCAATCAATATGCTTTTTTCTTAATAGAAAAACAGTGTTACTACCCTCAAGAGAGGCAGGAGAATACTGCTGTTGTTTGAGACAATGGCTTCCAAAATTAAGATAATCATTAAAAGAGTTGTTTTCCATAAAAAATGATATGGTCAAGTAGTAGAACCTTAAAATTCCTAAATATACAGTTCTCACTCTAAACCTGGCTAGTTGTAAGAACAATGAGAATTCCTCATCCACAGAAACAAAAATGAGTAGCAGTCACTATCTCTATCTCAGGTTGTTTCTACTGCTTCTGGTTTTCAGAATCATTCAGATGTCTCAAGATCTCCTAAGGCCAGTTTCTCTGCCTGAAGCCTTTTGTTACCAAGCACAGTGTCTGAACAATCCAACAGCAAAGTTTCTGTTTCTCTCACTGCCAATTTTGTTTCACCCATTTTCTAAGATTTGTGCCTTCAGTCCTTCTTCAATTGACAATCATGTGCCACTAATTGACCTTTCTCCATTGAATTGTTTCAAACTGTCAGCTTCAAGCCACCCATAACAACTGTAATTAAAACAGCCCCAACTATGTTATGCCCCTACATAGAAACTCAGTTAGGCTTTGACCCTACCAGTTGGTCTAGAACCTTGTACAGAGGTCACTCATAGCACACATACACCATAAGGTTAAATAAACAGATAAAAATACAGTGTTTTTCATATTCTCCATCTAAACCCAGCATTTGTGCCACTAAGGCATCAAGGCTGTAAACATTCAGCTGGCTTACTTCATTATGCATGCACAAACACAAATGAGGTTATCCTAACAAACTAACAAACAGAAGGTGTGAACTGCTAAGAATATTTAATCAAGCTGAGATGGCGAACTAATAATATTTTGAACAATGCAAAATTATAAAGTTTTGAAGTAATAATAAGTGAAAAATACAGTTCAGAGTATGAGGTCTAGCTTTTAAAAACTGTTGAAAGCAAGACTAAGTCATAGTAGAAAAATGAACAATGAGTGTCCTGTTGTGCTTTATTGATTTTTTAGGTTTCTTTAAAGCTGTAAGTCTACATTTACATTGTTGAAAAACTATTACACATTATATATGTTACTTATTTATATTACTTAGGTGCAAAACAGTGGTGGGCTGCTCCTGGTTCTGTCCGGTTCTTGCGAACCAGTAGTAAAAGCAGCAGGAGGCTCTACCCACCTGCCCGGACGTCATAATGGACAATCTGCGCTCCCGTTGTGAACCGGTAGTAAAGGTAAGTAGAACCCTCCCCTGGTGCAAAAGTGAAGCAGGTGGACTTGGATGGGAATCTCCTTCATCCATGCAGTTTCCCCTTTCTTCTAGGAAAACTAGTTGGCCAACATAGCATTCCTGCCTCCAACAGCCCTGTGAGGTAAGGTAGACTAAGAGAGGGGGGATGCCTCAGAAAGTTTGCTGTCTTCAGTTTAAGGTGGTCTTAAACTTGTCTCATCCTATTCACTATACTATGTTGATTCTCTAAAAGTATTTTAGAAAGTGCTTACTGCAGACCCCATCTGCTAAACTATTTTGGCTCGTGGGATTGAGGAGAAGAGCCTCTTCTGCTGTCACACTCTGTAGAACATTTTACCATTGGAGGGGAGATCTGCTCCTGGAATGGGACAACTCGCCTCAGCCGATTCACCACTGCCAACTCTCCATGGTCAACTCACTTTGGCCAACTCGCCACGGCCAATTTGCCACAGCCAATTTACCACAAGACAACTCACCATGGCGTTCTCACCATGGGACAACTTGCTGCAGGACAATTCAACAATTCCATTTTATTTTTTAAATAATTGTAAAAAATATTTTAATTTTTGTCACTCACATTTTATTTTGTTCCTCTTTTGGCATCCTTTCTTTAATTATTCTGTTTGACTATTTCTTCAATATTAGTGTAACTCTTGTCCTGCGGTGAGTTGTTCTGTATCGAGTTGGCCATGGCGAGTTGGCTGCAACAAGTTAGCCACAGCAAGTTGGCTGCAGCGAAATGGCCATGGTGAGTTGGCTGTGGTGAATTGTTGTAGACCCATCTGCTCCTACCCTTCTGGCCTTTGGAGAGGCCTTAAAAATCTGGGTTTGGCTGGAGATACTGGTGAAACAAGAAAAAAACATGAGATCTGTCTCCTTGGTCTTAGTTCTTATGTAACTTTTAAATTTTAAATGTTTTTATATTTATATTTTTATCATTTGTGAGTCACCCAGAGTTATCATACTGGTGAGATGGGCAGCATATACATTTAATAAATAAAATAAAAATAAAATAATATAAATAGCTGAATGTTACTGTGATAATTATCTGACAGAGAGGGTCAATCTCATAGAAAAACTAATGGGTTTCTATGCTTGATATGCTATAAATAAGAAGAGAAAAATTGACCTAGTTTACAAGAAAGTATTCTCATGCTGTCTTTTGTCTGTCAATCCTAAGAATCACAACACACTCTTCATAAACCATTATAACACTAAGCCATATGTAGATAATGTTGCAATGAAAAGCTCCCTATACCATTATCTTGAATGATACAAGGTAAACAGTTTTAATAATGCCACTTGCCCTCATGATTCCAGTGTTCTAAGCCAATTTCAATACCTGGTTAATAAGCATGAAAATAAAAATGTGACATTGGCTGCAAACCTAAATTTAAAAAGAATATAAAACCTATTTCCAGAGGTTCATTGTCTGTATATATCCACTGCGTTCCCAGAATTCCCAACCACCAAAACCATTATAGGCTACAATTCTGGAGTTGCGGTCCCAACCGGCAAATGGAATTACAGAAACCGAATGAGCTACAACAGTGATTTTTGGCTCTCCTTGCCTGTTACAGTTCTGTGACTAGTAATGATACCAGATAGTTGCAGAAAGGACTCTGAAGATGAGGCTGGAAGAAACATTCATTTGGCAGATTTTAGATTTATTTCTTTTTAATGATCATACAACAGCAAGAATTTTTGGAAGATTACGAATCTTGAATCGGTGCCTCCACAGAAATTAAAAAACTGCAATTTGCAGATGGCAAATTGCTTGCTACAATCTGAAAGGGCCTGTGTTACAATGGCAGAAAATGAGACTACATATACACTTCTTCCTCTGTCCATCTGCCAGTGTTATGGTCTTGAGTGGGGGTGATATTATTGTAATTTGGACATTTTGCAAGCAAATTTTGCTGTTCTTCTGTGATGTGTCATCACAGAAAAGACCAGAAATAAGTATAGAGGAAATTACTATTGTCTTGGTGCAACATAATGTTGACAGTGAAGTCAAGATGTAGCATTGCTATTTTTCTTCAGGAAATGAGCCCTTCGGTTAATATTGTATTGCCATGATATAAAAAAATTGTTGAGACCCTAGAAAGAGTGCAGAAAAGAACAACAAAGACGATTAGGTGACTGGAGGCAAAAACATATGAAGAACGATTACAGGATATTGGTTATGTCTAGTTTAATGGACTAGGGGTTGACATGATAGTGCTCCAATATCTAAAGGGCTGCCACAAAGAAGAGGGGGTCAACCATTCTCCAAAGCACTTAAAGGTAGGACAAGGAACTAATCAAGGAGAGAAGCAACCTAGAACAAAGGAGAAATTCCCTGACAGTTAGTGAAACAATCACTAATCAGTGAAACAACTTGCCTTCAGAATTTGTGAATGCTCCAACACTGGAGGTTTTTAAAGAAAAACTATTTGTCTGAAATGGTATAGGCCACCGGTGTCAAACTCGATAGCGTCACATGACGTATGGTGACGTTTTTGCCTTTGAGGAGCTGAGGTGGGTGTGGCCTGTGTGTGATGCATTCGGCCTATGGGCCACTAGTTTGACAGGCCTGGTATAGTGCTTTCTGCCTGAGCAGGGGATTGGACTAGAAGACCTCCAAATGGCACCGAATACATTTTTTTCATGCATACAATCAGATTCCTATATTCATTTTTCTAGTAGTCCTGTACTAAATAATGGTTAATATTATTACTATTCTAGAACTAGTTTACACATTCCATTCATAATTTGAGGATCAGACTATAAAGTGAAAAATCATGGAACCATCATCACTGTTAAAATGCTCACCAAATGTCAAACGTAGCAGACTTTTGTCCAATGGCAAGACAGTACATATGTATTCAATCACTAATCTTCAACATGTATCTCTTCAAAATCTATTTTAAAGATTTGATGAATTCTTCTCAGGGATGCTACAGATTTAATCTAACATTGAATTACTACTGATTATGGAATTCACATGCTCTTCCTACTCTCTTGATTAAATCTTACTGTTTCTGGTTAAATTTTAACATAGTTGCCTTGATATTAAAGAGGTATTTAATAAATTCTATTATGATTAAAAATCCATAAAGTTGTTTGTTGCTTAACTTCTGTGCTATATTTTTCCAAATGGAGCTTGCTTGATTTCAACATATTGGCAAAAAGCATAGCAAGTCTGTTGCTCTCCAACAGGTTTTTTTTAATTACACTGTTTTATTTTGCTGTTTTCTGCTTAGAAGTAACATTAACATTCTGTTGTTCACACCTAATGTCTAATTTCTGTAATTTAAGAAATGTTGAATGTTGTTTTCTTTGTATGCATAGATCATTATCCTTTCATAATTTTTCAGAGCATACAGGTAGTCCTTGACTTATTGAGACCAGAATTTTCATAGCTCAGGTGTCAAACTGGATTTCTTCGAGGGTCAGATCACCATTGTAGTTCTCCACGGGCTGAGGGACAGGGAATGGGGGAGAGATGGGATGGACACCTCTGCAGCACCATGCCGGCCAAAACAGGGCATGGAGGGGCCATGTGTGCCCCCCCCGGCCTCATTTTCTCCCTTCATGGCCTCCAGCAGCACTCTGCTGGCCAAAAATGGGCCATGCAGAGGCCTCCTGAGGCCCCCAAGTGGCCTGTTTTCTGCCTCCTCGGCCTCCAGCAGCACTCTGCCGGCTAAAAACGGGCTGGTCCTTTGATATTTCCAGGCTGGCCCCGCGGGCTGGATGTAAGCACCTCGCAGGCCAGATGCAGGCTGCGGGCCTTGAGTTTGACACACCTGCCATAGCTAAATGATGCAATCACAAAGTGTGACCATTGCTTAGCGATGGTAATCCCTGTAGCCTCAGTTGCCATAGGTAACCAAATCTCATGGTCATTAAGTGAGGCAACTTCTTGCTGGCTTCCCACAACCAAAGTCAGTTGCAAGTCTCAGACTGGCAGGCAGGTAAGCGGCTGCCGCCAAGTGCGGGAGAGAGTGACAGGGTGCATGGAAGTTCGAGAGAGGCATGGTGAGGGTTGGGGAAGGTGCATGAGGGTGTAAGGAGGTAAATGAGAGGCACAACAAGGATCATTGAAAGATGCACAAGAGTGCAGTACAGATCAGAGAAATTGCACAGGTATGCAATACAGTTGGGGGGAATACGGGGGGGGGGGAATGAGTGTGTGTGTGGGGCGGTTGAGTGAGGCACGGTGAAGGTTGGGTGAGAGTTCAGGAAGATATGTAATGGTCAAAGAAGGATGGACAAGACCGCAGCATGGGTCGGAGAAGCTGTACAAGGTTGCAACACAGTCAGAGAGAGTCTGACTGTGAGTGTTTGGCACAGCACAGGTGCAGAGGGCATAGGTAGGACACTTATCGCAGCAATTTGCAATCTTCCCTGCTGGTTTCCCCACTGATTTTCTGGGAAAGCTGGCAGCCAAAGTTACAAATGGCAATCATGTGATTTGTAGGGCATTGCAATCAGTCATAATTCCAAACAGTTGCCAAGTGCTCTGATTATGATAATGTGACTGTATGTGCTGGGCTGGGCAGAACTTCGAAGACCAGTCATAACCACCATTTGTTCAGCTTTGTAGCTTTGAATGTTTACTGAACTAATGGTCATAGGTTGAGGACTATCTCTATCTTGTTTTAAACATATAAAAATAATAATCTCGCTTTTTTGATTAAACAGAATACTATCTATGGGAAGAGGTTTACACTATTAGATCGTTCAGTAGAACTATGTTATGGCTACTACCAGTAGGAATTAGTTTACTAAGTGCAAGTGGGAGGAATGCTTCTGTGTCCTTGAAAACAGAATGAAAAGATCTGATCTCTACTTGCCTTGTGTCTGTAGCAAATGACGCACTGCTCTAAGCAATGTTTTTCTTAATAAACATAATTTCTAATGTTGCTCTCACCAGTGTCACAATCCCTCTTGGGGTTTTCACTCTTTGTCTTCTTTCTGTTCTCTTGAGAAACCTGCCAA